GCGTGAGGTTGTCATGGTAACCACATACATTGCCCACGAATTACAGCTGGCTTCTATTTTGCCACACTAAACTTAGCAATAAACACGTTGAAAATAATACACAATAAACATGTCTGTCAAAACTATCTCAAAGGAGGCTTTTATTAAGCAAATCAAGGAGCGATTGGAGTCAAACTCGTTCCATATCAGCAGAATAGTGTGGTACAGAAAGTCTATGTTCATAGAAAAGGTTCTGAATGAATTATGTTACCGATACCTAATGGTCAAAAGCAATAACAATAGGTCAATATTGTTAAATTGCAGACAAAGATTTTGAATAGCTAGGTTGGCTTGTATGCATGTTTGGCGCGGTAGGGGGCCCAACCTCATATTCTTTCATAGGGCCCAAGATTGCTTGCGGCACCCCTGCTTGGACAGACGCCTCAACACGGCACGAACGCATTTAATATGAGTGTCCCAGCTATCACTAAACACAACGAGATCATCCAAGTAGACTGCACAACTGCCAAGTCCTGAAATTATCATAAGATGTTGAAACGTTGCTGGGGCATTCCTTAACCCAAAACTCATAACTTTATAAGAGTATAATCCCGTAGGGGTGACAAATGAGGAAATATCCTGCCAGTAGCCTTTAAGCAAGTAAAACTTGCTCACAAATTTGGCTGAACCTACATGAGGAAGTGGAAAACAATCTGGTTTGGTTACACTGTTAACTTTACGGAAATCAGTGCAAAACCTCACTGACCCATCAGCTTTCCCAACGAGAAGATGGGGGATGCCCAGTTTAAAAAGGACAGTACAGCAATATAATTTTCCTGCACGTACTTAATTTCTGCCGCCATAATCTCACGTTTATCTGCGGAGATGCGATAAAAACTCTGCTTAATGGGTTTAGCCTCCCCTACGTCAATGTCATGCTCTATCCAATCTGTACGGGATGGAGTGTCACCAAACAAATCCGGAAAACTTCAATAATGAAATAAATTCCGCACGTTGCAATGGAGGTAAATGAGCAAGAATGGAGACTAGTCTCTTCAATGACTCAGAGTTATTTAACCGACCACGCAAAATACAATCATCAGGCTCAATACCCTATCTTAGCTTCAGGCAACTCTTGTGCTTGAACCAATCGTTGTTTAAAACCGTAAACATAAGACTCTAAATTCTTTGGAGAATCTGATTTCTGAGAGAACTCTAACAGAGTTCTGGAGCACAGACAAGTCCACGAACTTTATGACCAAAAACAAGGTCATCGGGACTAAACCCAGTGCTCTCCTGTACTACCTCTCACGTCGCTAGCTTTAGCCAGGGTAATCCCTCCACCCAAACTCCATCTAACTGTACAATAAGCCCATAGAAGAGGCTTCAAAGTCTGGTGGAACCTCTCTAGTGCACCTTGACTTTGGGCATGGTATGCAATAGCAAGATGATGTTTAGAGAGCTTTTACTATTGAGCGAGAAGTGATTGTACGCAGTGGGTTACCAGCAGGAATACGTATATTTATACACATTCTAGTCAACAAGTATTTACCACCCGACTTTGAAGATGGTAACGGCCCCACACAGTCAGTGATAAGGTGTTCAAAAGGTTCGCCAATCACTGGAATAGGGTGCAGCGGAGCAGGTTTGAGTTTCTGATTAGGTTTACTCGTTAACTGGCAAGTGTGACTGTTTTATATAAGTTTATGCAAGGCCAGAAAAAAATGTCTTAAAATATGATTATACGTCTTTCGTACTCCTGAATGACCAGAATGGTCATGCGCGACTTCCGACAATGCCACTCAAATCCTAAGGTTCAAATCCCGGACGAGCCCCCAATTTGTTACGAC